ACTGTTAAGGTGTGGAACCTCACGAACTGCAAGCTGAGAAATACCCTTGCTGGACACAGTGGGTATGTGAACACTGTTGTTGTTTCTCCCGATGGTTCTCTGTGTGCCAGTGGCGGAAAAGATGGAGTTATTTTGCTGTGGGATTTGGCTGAGGGTAAGCGTCTCTACTCTCTCGATGCTGTGGGATTTCGCTGCCGTTTTTGCTGGGGCTGCTTCGGGGAGTGGCAGGAGGCGGAGAAAGGGGGGTGGGATGGTATTGGGGGAAGAATTTGAAAGGTTGAGAGGGTTCGATTTTAGGGACAAGGATTTTTGGAGGCTATGCGGTTTGTGGAATTAGGGTTGGATCGTCAGTCCGCGAAAAAGGAAGGGTTGAGAGGGGAGTGGCTGTAGACTGGTGCCGGAAAACATGGGGTCCAAGGAGGAGACGTCGCCGAAATTGCAGAGAGAACGGGGTTCTGTAATTGAATTGCCAACTTTGCCCTAATTGAATTTCCCCTATTTTAATTTAATTTTTAATTTAATTTTTAATTCAAAATTTCAAATAATAGAATTTATCAACGTAATGACACGTGTGTTAAAAATAACACTGTCAGCATACCAGGTCATACAACACTTAACGCCGTTTCCTCAATTTAACGGAAAGGTCCTATTTAATTCAATTTTACAAAATTAAGAACCGAATTGAAACGCCAAAAAAGAAAGGGTCCTATTTGAGATTCCGGACGAAAATAAGGACCTATTGAAACATTAAACCTAAAAAAAATATCATCTTTAACTTAAAGCTTAAAACAAATAGATTTATTAGTCTTTATCTTTATTATTTAACTTTCTTATTTATACGTAAAACTTAAACCCATACTTAAAACTTTAAAGTTATACACGACTTTTTCTAAGGCTAATTACTTGGTAAAAGTACAAACAACTCTATTCAAAGCTCATTATAAAGGAAAAAAAAGAATCACAATAAACAAGATTAGAAAAAGAAGCTATATGGTCTTTTTGACCTTGTCAAGCTTCAAATTATTTATTTGACCATCTGTCTGATGCTTGTGGAAATCTTTTGAAGTTTTTCAAATAAGAGAGAAAAAACTGGATAAGGAACTATATTTAGATGTCAAATATTATTATGTATTTTGAAGACTGTTGGGTCCATCTTATTTGAGTAATGCTTACTTTTGCATTTTTTGGGTTATTTCTGAAAAAAAATATTTCCATGAAATAAAAAAGTTCACATCAATCTAATTTTATTGTTAATTTGGTTTACTTTTCAATTCATAATTAGATTTAACTTAATTTTAAAAACTGGAATGATATCTGTGGTCTCTTTCTATACCTCTTAAAAAATTGGAGAAGTAAAAAAAATGCATTATATGAATTAATTTTTGTTATTATTTTCATACATTGTTTATGTAACGGTAATTTAAGAAAAAATAGTAATTGTACGAAAAATTCAATAATATTAACTAGATTATACATTTTTAAGTAAACATGAATTATTCCTAATTTCACAAATTTAAAGTTAAATAATATATATTTTAAGATTTCCTCTAAAATTTTATTTTCTTTTTGGAAAGAGACAAAGGGAATAGTAACTGTAATGACGGTAACATGAAATAAAGTTTAGTTTACTTATTTAACATCAAATCGTGTCACAAAAAAACACTTATTTATTATCGAAAACTTGTGAGAAAAATATTGGTAGGGATGAAGCTATGGATCCCATACTCGTTTACTTGTGGTAAAAGGTGGTAATTTTCTTAATGCAACGATCTTTCAAATTCTCATAAAACGTGACCACTTCAACAGGTTTCGAGGCGTAGATGGAGCCAGAAAAGGTTGGATACTCAATCATTACATTATGCGTATCATATTTTCTTTTTCAAAACTTAACCTGTAAGATTTGGCAATGCCCTCACTTTTTGTCCCATCCTCTCCTCTTTCAAGCATCCTATGTTTTCACGTTGCACTTTATAATAATACTACGTTTGAAACGGAGTTTATGAGAAAATCATATTTTTCTTTTCAAGGGAGGATTTGGTTGAAATTTTGATTGAAAATTACAAATTAATTTAAATTATTTAGTATGTGTTGAGTCTAAGGCACTACAGAAATAATATATTATAGAAGGGTTTTCAAAACTTCAAATAACTCTCGGTGGTTTTAAAACAAAACAGTAGCTATGTATTATTTTTATTTTATTTTTAAAATTTTCTGACACTTATAAGAAAACCACAACTTACATTTATTATTTATTTATTTAAAATAAATTTTCGGTGTTTTTTTATTCAAATAGTCGAAAACTTTTATTTACTTTTCCCAATCATATTCATATTTTAAAATTGTCTTCTAACTTATCCCAAACATTTGAACAAAGCATAACAAAAACCCTAGGTACCATTCCTTTCTTTTCCTCTATCTTTTAGCTTCTTTTTGTCATGGTTATGCCATTGGAGATTCTTCGTTTGGATCCAGTTGAAAACATGAAGAAGATGGTGGCGTCGACTACCCCCCTAAAGTGGCAACTCCGGCAAGGGCCAGAGCCACGGGTACATCGGCCTCTGTGGTTTGGTTCGCCGAAACGGGAATGGTAACCCCTCCCTTTAGGTCGCGTCCACAGACGAAGAGAAGACCAATGTTTATTGGCGGCGGAAGCGGTGACAAAGGAAAAAAGGACTTGCGTTGCCACCAACAACTCTTACTGGACGGGAATGGGTGGTGACGATTGATATGATCATAGGTGGGGCAAGAATGAAGAGTTTTAAGAGTGACAAGAAGCATAAAAAGAAATGGTATAGGTTTTCTTAGGCTTGTATTTTGCCTATTCTAGTTTCTAATTTCTTTCTCTTAGTTTGGTTGTAAAGTAACTTATATATTCTTCTCTTCTTTAAGGTGTAAGCAACGTGGAACTTCACATAGCTTGGACTTAAAAAACAGAAGAATAAATAAGTCTTTTCTCCTTTTAGTTGCTTGTATTGCAAGTTATCTCATGTATAGTTTTAGTTTTGATCTTTTGACTAGTTAGGTAGCTTATATACCCTTAATATGTTGTAGAATTAATAGATGTGAGACTTAAAATAGCCTTGAGAGTTGTTGTCATATTTGAAGCCTCCAAGTCCTACATCCTTTAGTTTTCTCCATCTACTTCATCTCCTAGTGCTATATAAGCAACATAAGGTTTCCTTTGTACATACAACCTATCTCAGTTGCATTACTTCTTTGAGATAAAATTATGTCTCTTAGTCTAATTTTGGGTCTTATCTTGTGAAAAACAAGTGGCGATCCTCCTTGGCATTTATCTTGAATCCTTTCAAGTGGCATGCCTTCCAATTCATAAGTTTCTCTCCTTTCTCTCTTACATTTGTAGTCTTTTAATTCCATTTCTTAATTGTTCTTATTTAGTTCTTAGGCATATTTCTATCTAGGCATATTGTTCCATATCATGTGGTATCTAGAGCCTTAGGTTTGGTCTTTGTTTTTAGGAAAGCATGCTAGTTAGAAGGCTATTTTTCTTTTCGTCGGTGTTCAGCGCAAGTCTCTAGTGCCCAGCGCGCGTGGTATGCATGTCCAACTTGTTTATGTCATAAATTGCGGATTTCAACTCCGATTTGAGTGAAATGTTGTTCTATAGTTTCGTTTACATCTTAGGAACAATATCCAGTCCTTATTTCACTTTAATTCTATCGTTTAATATGTGAATTTGGTGCTAATTCATTCAATACTCCATAGTTTGCTTGTTGTTTGGGTTATTTCTAATCTGTTTGTTGTATTTGCTTGTTGTTTTGTGTGTTTGGAGGCTGGATTTTTTCTTCTTGATGTTGTACACCATCGAGACACTCTTAAGGTTGATCAAAAGACTCCAATTAAATGCCTAGAAGTGATCCAAAAGTTGTTGTCCAGATGTTACAAGCAGAACATTTCGACACAAGCAACAATCACCTCTTGGAAGTCTTCAACAAGTAGGCTTTTAAACCTTTGATTTGAGTCATTTGTGATTCCTCTTTAGGAGCTTTCTAGCAATTTTATCTTGATTTACACTTGCTAGAGTCCTTCGCATCATTGCTCTTGTATGATGAATTAAGATGGATCAAACTAGGATTTAAGTGTGTATGCTTTTCTTATTTGTTCTGCACTAGTAGAGGTCTTAAACAAACATAAAATAAGTTTTTTTCAAACACACATACTTAAATTTTGAGTGCTTGGCCAAAACATATAGCTACAACAGTTTGCAAAAAAAAAAAANATTTATGGTATCAAAACAAGATACGCTCCTTAATCGAATGTTTTATCAAAAACAAGATAATTAACAATAGTGATAAGTATTAGTGTTCATCCTAACATTCAAAATAAACTTACCATCTACCTGTCTATTATTAATTTACAATATTTTTGCACCTAAATCATTGCTACATTAATTTTGAAATAGTTTTACCTTTTATTAATTATAAAATTTTACTGTTTATCTCACAATTTCCTAAGTATTTAAATTCTACTACATCCCTCCACCAATTTCTTTGGTCTTATCTTTCTAACCTTTTAGCCTTTATACTACCTTTATTTCTGGTAATCGTGTACCATATATGTACGCGAGATCACGGAGGGAGTTATAGAGTTGTAGAAGTCTTCAAGATTTGAAGTGGGTCATCAATGTCTTTTGTGGAGTAAGCAACATAACAAAGAAGTACTTTTACCTAAAGAACGTTCAATAAATAATATGACATGAAATTATCAGTTAAAAATTTAATCATGTCATTTATTAATTATATTTTAAAACTAGGTAACATCTTGTCAATTTAGTTCTTAAAAAAACTCATCCAATACCATACATGCAATTCATATAAAAAAAATTTAATGTTTCAATAGGTCCCTGTTTTCGTCCAGAATCTCAAATAGGACCCTTTCTTTCTTAGCGTTTCAATTAGATTCTTATTTTTGTAAAATTGAATTAAATAGGACCATTCCGTTAAATTGACGAGACAGCGTTAAGTGTTGTATCATCTGGTATGCTGACTGTGTTATTTTTAACACACGTGTCATTAGCAACGTGGTGGAACTGTGGTACCATTAAACAGGATGTTGTTCTATCTTCTGACAGACAGTTTGCGTTTTCCGGCTCCTGGGACGGCGAGCTCCGCCTCTGGGACCTTGCAGCCGGCACCTCCGCGCGCCGTTTTGTTGGACACACCAAGGACGTCCTCTCTGTGGCGTTCTCCATTGACAACCGTCAGATCGTGTCGGCCTCACGTGACCGCACAATTAAACTGTGGAATACCCTTGGTGAATGCAAGTACACCATTCAAGACAGTGATGCTCATTCTGATTGGGTTAGTTGTGTGCGTTTCAGCCCTAGCACTCTTCAGCCGACTATTGTGTCTGCATCTTGGGACCGCACTGTTAAGGTGTGGAACCTCACGAACTGCAAGCTGAGAAATACCCTTGCTGGACACAGTGGGTATGTGAACACTGTTGTTGTTTCTCCCGATGGTTCTCTGTGTGCCAGTGGCGGAAAAGATGGAGTTATTTTGCTGTGGGATTTGGCTGAGGGTAAGCGTCTCTACTCTCTCGATGCTGTGGGATTTCGCTGCCGTTTTTGCTGGGGCTGCTTCGGGGAGTGGCAGGAGGCGGAGAAAGGGGGGTGGGATGGTATTGGGGGAAGAATTTGAAAGGTTGAGAGGGTTCGATTTTAGGGACAAGGATTTTTGGAGGCTATGCGGTTTGTGGAATTAGGGTTGGATCGTCAGTCCGCGAAAAAGGAAGGGTTGAGAGGGGAGTGGCTGTAGACTGGTGCCGGAAAACATGGGGTCCAAGGAGGAGACGTCGCCGAAATTGCAGAGAGAACGGGGTTCTGTAATTGAATTGCCAACTTTGCCCTAATTGAATTTCCCCTATTTTAATTTAATTTTTAATTTAATTTTTAATTCAAAATTTCAAATAATAGAATTTATCAACGTAATGACACGTGTGTTAAAAATAACACTGTCAGCATACCAGGTCATACAACACTTAACGCCGTTTCCTCAATTTAACGGAAAGGTCCTATTTAATTCAATTTTACAAAATTAAGAACCGAATTGAAACGCCAAAAAAGAAAGGGTCCTATTTGAGATTCCGGACGAAAATAAGGACCTATTGAAACATTAAACCTAAAAAAAATATCATCTTTAACTTAAAGCTTAAAACAAATAGATTTATTAGTCTTTATCTTTATTATTTAACTTTCTTATTTATACGTAAAACTTAAACCCATACTTAAAACTTTAAAGTTATACACGACTTTTTCTAAGGCTAATTACTTGGTAAAAGTACAAACAACTCTATTCAAAGCTCATTATAAAGGAAAAAAAAGAATCACAATAAACAAGATTAGAAAAAGAAGCTATATGGTCTTTTTGACCTTGTCAAGCTTCAAATTATTTATTTGACCATCTGTCTGATGCTTGTGGAAATCTTTTGAAGTTTTTCAAATAAGAGAGAAAAAACTGGATAAGGAACTATATTTAGATGTCAAATATTATTATGTATTTTGAAGACTGTTGGGTCCATCTTATTTGAGTAATGCTTACTTTTGCATTTTTTGGGTTATTTCTGAAAAAAAATATTTCCATGAAATAAAAAAGTTCACATCAATCTAATTTTATTGTTAATTTGGTTTACTTTTCAATTCATAATTAGATTTAACTTAATTTTAAAAACTGGAATGATATCTGTGGTCTCTTTCTATACCTCTTAAAAAATTGGAGAAGTAAAAAAAATGCATTATATGAATTAATTTTTGTTATTATTTTCATACATTGTTTATGTAACGGTAATTTAAGAAAAAATAGTAATTGTACGAAAAATTCAATAATATTAACTAGATTATACATTTTTAAGTAAACATGAATTATTCCTAATTTCACAAATTTAAAGTTAAATAATATATATTTTAAGATTTCCTCTAAAATTTTATTTTCTTTTTGGAAAGAGACAAAGGGAATAGTAACTGTAATGACGGTAACATGAAATAAAGTTTAGTTTACTTATTTAACATCAAATCGTGTCACAAAAAAACACTTATTTATTATCGAAAACTTGTGAGAAAAATATTGGTAGGGATGAAGCTATGGATCCCATACTCGTTTACTTGTGGTAAAAGGTGGTAATTTTCTTAATGCAACGATCTTTCAAATTCTCATAAAACGTGACCACTTCAACAGGTTTCGAGGCGTAGATGGAGCCAGAAAAGGTTGGATACTCAATCATTACATTATGCGTATCATATTTTCTTTTTCAAAACTTAACCTGTAAGATTTGGCAATGCCCTCACTTTTTGTCCCATCCTCTCCTCTTTCAAGCATCCTATGTTTTCACGTTGCACTTTATAATAATACTACGTTTGAAACGGAGTTTATGAGAAAATCATATTTTTCTTTTCAAGGGAGGATTTGGTTGAAATTTTGATTGAAAATTACAAATTAATTTAAATTATTTAGTATGTGTTGAGTCTAAGGCACTACAGAAATAATATATTATAGAAGGGTTTTCAAAACTTCAAATAACTCTCGGTGGTTTTAAAACAAAACAGTAGCTATGTATTATTTTTATTTTATTTTTAAAATTTTCTGACACTTATAAGAAAACCACAACTTACATTTATTATTTATTTATTTAAAATAAATTTTCGGTGTTTTTTTATTCAAATAGTCGAAAACTTTTATTTACTTTTCCCAATCATATTCATATTTTAAAATTGTCTTCTAACTTATCCCAAACATTTGAACAAAGCATAACAAAAACCCTAGGTACCATTCCTTTCTTTTCCTCTATCTTTTAGCTTCTTTTTGTCATGGTTATGCCATTGGAGATTCTTCGTTTGGATCCAGTTGAAAACATGAAGAAGATGGTGGCGTCGACTACCCCCCTAAAGTGGCAACTCCGGCAAGGGCCAGAGCCACGGGTACATCGGCCTCTGTGGTTTGGTTCGCCGAAACGGGAATGGTAACCCCTCCCTTTAGGTCGCGTCCACAGACGAAGAGAAGACCAATGTTTATTGGCGGCGGAAGCGGTGACAAAGGAAAAAAGGACTTGCGTTGCCACCAACAACTCTTACTGGACGGGAATGGGTGGTGACGATTGATATGATCATAGGTGGGGCAAGAATGAAGAGTTTTAAGAGTGACAAGAAGCATAAAAAGAAATGGTATAGGTTTTCTTAGGCTTGTATTTTGCCTATTCTAGTTTCTAATTTCTTTCTCTTAGTTTGGTTGTAAAGTAACTTATATATTCTTCTCTTCTTTAAGGTGTAAGCAACGTGGAACTTCACATAGCTTGGACTTAAAAAACAGAAGAATAAATAAGTCTTTTCTCCTTTTAGTTGCTTGTATTGCAAGTTATCTCATGTATAGTTTTAGTTTTGATCTTTTGACTAGTTAGGTAGCTTATATACCCTTAATATGTTGTAGAATTAATAGATGTGAGACTTAAAATAGCCTTGAGAGTTGTTGTCATATTTGAAGCCTCCAAGTCCTACATCCTTTAGTTTTCTCCATCTACTTCATCTCCTAGTGCTATATAAGCAACATAAGGTTTCCTTTGTACATACAACCTATCTCAGTTGCATTACTTCTTTGAGATAAAATTATGTCTCTTAGTCTAATTTTGGGTCTTATCTTGTGAAAAACAAGTGGCGATCCTCCTTGGCATTTATCTTGAATCCTTTCAAGTGGCATGCCTTCCAATTCATAAGTTTCTCTCCTTTCTCTCTTACATTTGTAGTCTTTTAATTCCATTTCTTAATTGTTCTTATTTAGTTCTTAGGCATATTTCTATCTAGGCATATTGTTCCATATCATGTGGTATCTAGAGCCTTAGGTTTGGTCTTTGTTTTTAGGAAAGCATGCTAGTTAGAAGGCTATTTTTCTTTTCGTCGGTGTTCAGCGCAAGTCTCTAGTGCCCAGCGCGCGTGGTATGCATGTCCAACTTGTTTATGTCATAAATTGCGGATTTCAACTCCGATTTGAGTGAAATGTTGTTCTATAGTTTCGTTTACATCTTAGGAACAATATCCAGTCCTTATTTCACTTTAATTCTATCGTTTAATATGTGAATTTGGTGCTAATTCATTCAATACTCCATAGTTTGCTTGTTGTTTGGGTTATTTCTAATCTGTTTGTTGTATTTGCTTGTTGTTTTGTGTGTTTGGAGGCTGGATTTTTTCTTCTTGATGTTGTACACCATCGAGACACTCTTAAGGTTGATCAAAAGACTCCAATTAAATGCCTAGAAGTGATCCAAAAGTTGTTGTCCAGATGTTACAAGCAGAACATTTCGACACAAGCAACAATCACCTCTTGGAAGTCTTCAACAAGTAGGCTTTTAAACCTTTGATTTGAGTCATTTGTGATTCCTCTTTAGGAGCTTTCTAGCAATTTTATCTTGATTTACACTTGCTAGAGTCCTTCGCATCATTGCTCTTGTATGATGAATTAAGATGGATCAAACTAGGATTTAAGTGTGTATGCTTTTCTTATTTGTTCTGCACTAGTAGAGGTCTTAAACAAACATAAAATAAGTTTTTTTCAAACACACATACTTAAATTTTGAGTGCTTGGCCAAAACATATAGCTACAACAGTTTGCAAAAAAAAAAAACTCAAATCAAATCACCAATCTATTTTGTGCTTGCTGTTTCGAAAGTGGCTA